TAAAAAGACTGAGATTATATCATGCATATTTTAGACCACAATGCTTTAAAACTTGAATTCAATCACAAGAGAAAATTTGGAAGAAACACAAACACATGGAGGTTAGAGAGCATCCTACTAAAGAATAAATGGGTCAACCAAGAAATTAAAGAAGAATTAAAAAAATACATGGAAACAAATGAAAATAAAAACACGACTGTTCAGAACCTTTGGAATGCAGCAAAGGTGGTTCTAAGAGGGAAGTATATAGCAATACAAGCCTTTCTCAAGAAACAAGATAAGTCTCAAATACACATCCTAACATCATACCTAAAGAAGCTGGAAAAAGAAGAGCAAGTAAAGCCTAAATCCAGCAGGAGAGGAGAAATAATAAAGACTAGAGCAGAAATTAATGAAATAGAAACCCAAAGAACAGTAAAACAGATTGACAAAACCAGGAGCTCCTTCTTTGAATTAATAAGATCGACAGACCCCTAACCAGACTTATCAAAAAGAAAAGAGAAAGCCCCCCCCGCACACCCCAATCATGAATGAAAGAGGAGAGATCACAACCAACACCAAAGAAACACAAACAGTTGTAAGAGAATATTAAGAACAATTGTATGTCAACAAACTGGGCAATCTGGAAGAAATGGATGCATTCCTAGGAACATATAAACTACCAAAACTGAAATAGAAATAGAAAATATGAATAGACCCATAACTAGAAAAGAAATTTAATCAGGAATCAAAAGTCTCCCAACAAACTAGAGTCCAGGGCCAGATGGCCTCCAAGTGGAGGCCTACCAAACATTCAAAGAAGAACTAATACCTATTCCTCTGAAACTGTTCCAAAAAATAGAAATGGAAGGAAAATTTCCACACTCTTTCTATGAGGCCAGTACTACCTCGATTCCAAAACCAAAGACCCCATCAAAAAGGAGAATTGCAGACCAATATCACTGATGAACATGGATGCCAAAATACTCACCAAGATACTAGTTAATAGCATCCAGTAGGATATTAAAAAGATATTCACCACAACCAAGTAGGATTCATTCCTGGGCTGCAAGGGTGTTCACATCCACAAATCAATGAATGTGATACATTACATTAATAAAACAAAGGATAAGAACCATATGAGCCTCTCAATAGTTGCAGAAAAAGCATCTGACAAAATACAGCATTTTCTTGATAAAAACTCTCTACCGGGTAAGGACAGAGGGAACATACCTCAATAAAATATAAGCCATACATGAAAAACCCATAGCAAATATCATCCTCAACAGGGAAAAACTGAGAGCTTTTTCCCAAAGGTCAGGAACATGACAGGGATATCCAGTCTCGCCATTGCTGTTTAACATAGTACTGGCAGTTCTAGCCTCAGCAATTAGACAACAAAAACAAATAAAAGGCATCCAAATCAGCAAAGAAGTCAAACTTTCACTCTAAGCAGCTGACATGATACTCTATGTAGAAAACCTGAAAGACTCCACTAAAAAATTGTTAGAACTGATCTAGGAATTCAGCAAAGTCACAGGATATAAAATCAGAGCACAGAAGTCAGTCACATTTCTATACACTAACAATGAGGCAGAAGAAAGAGAAATCAAGGAATCAAGCCTTACAATTGCACCAAAAATCGTAAGATACCTAGGAATAAATCTAACCAAAGGGGTAAAGGATCTGTACTCTGAAAACTATGGAACATTTATGAAGTAAATTGAGGAAGACACAAATAAATGGAAAAATATTTCATGCTCATGGATTGGAAGAACAAATGTTCAAATGTCTATACTAACCAAAGCAATCTATACATTCAATGTAATCCCTACCAAAATACCATCAGCATGTTTCATAGAGCTGGAACAAACAATCCTGAAATTTCTATGGAACCAGAAAAGACTCTGAGTAGCCAAAAGAATATTGAGAAGGAAAACCAAAGCTGGAGGCATCACGATTCCAGACTTCAGGCCATATTACAAAGCTGTAATCATCAAGACAGTATGGTAGTGACATAAACAGACACACCGATCAATGGAACAGAATAGAGAACCCAGAAATGGACCCCCAACTCTATGGTCAACTAATCTTTGACAAAGCAGGAAAGAATGTCCAATGGATAAAAGTCTCTTCAACAAACGGTGTTGGGAAAATTGGACAGCCATATTCAGAATAACAAAACTGGACCATTTTCTTACACCATATACCAGTGACAGATTCAAAATGGATGAAAGACTTAACTGTGAGAAGTTCTCTTGCCTTTGGAGATGTATCTAGCAAGAAGTTGCTGCTGCCTATGTTCTCCTCCAGGAGAAAAAGCAAAAATGAACTATTGGGACTTCATCAAGATAAAAGCTTTTGCACAGCAAAGGAAACAGTCAACAAAACCAAAAGGCAACCTACAGATTGGGAGAAGATATTTGCAAATGTTTTGTCAGATAAAGGGCTACTATACAAAATCTCTGAAGAGCCTATCAACACCCAAAAAACAAAATATCCAATCAAGAAATGGGCAGAAGACATGCACCAACACTTCTCCAAATAAGACATCTGAATGGCCAATAGACACATGAAAAAAATGCTCAATATGACCTGGCATCAGGGAAATACAAATCAAAACCACAGTGAGATACCATCTCACATAGGTAAGAATGGCTAAAATTAAAAAAAACTTAGGAAACAACAGATGTTGGCAAGGATATGGAGAAAGTGGAACCCTCTTCCATTGCTGGTGGGAATACAAACTGGTGCAGCCACTCTGGAAAACAGTATGGAGGTTCCTCAAAAAGTAAAAATAGAGCTGATCTATGACCCAACAAGTGCACTACTAGGTGTTTACCCAAAGTATACAAACATAGTGATTCGAAGGGGCATATACACTCCAATGTTTATAGCAACAATGTCCACAATAGTCAAACTATGGTAAGAGCCCAGATGTCCATCAGCAGAAGAATGGATTAAGAAGATGTGGTATGTATATATATATCACTCAGCCATCAGAAAGAATGAAATCTTGCCACTTCAGTCATATGTGGATTTCACTCACATGTGGAATTTAAGAAACAAAGGAGACAAACATAAGGGAAGGGAAGGAAAAATAAAACAAGACAGAATCAGAGAGGGAAACAAATCCTAAGAGACTTAATTATAGGAAACGAACTGAATGATGCTAGACAGGAGGTGGGAAGGAATGGATTAACTGAGTGATAGACATTACGGAGGGCACTTAAGTAATGGGCACGGGGTGTTGCATGCAACTGATGAATCACTCCATTCTACTTCTGAAACTAGTAATACAATATACGTTAATATGAAAAAATAAAAAATAAATAAATAGTAAAAGTTCTTGAAGGCTAGGCACAATATTACTTCAGGTACTCAAAATATTTGCTGACAATCAATCTTAGTTTGAGTCAGAGATCCTGCCTTAACTAAAACTTCGAAAGTTCCTTATAAATATGAACATTCTTTTTAGATAGCAATTCTGAATACTTTTAGATACTATTACAAATATTTAGTTTAAAATTTAAGAGCATATATATTGAGGAAAAATGTTTGACTCTGTCTATCAATATTACTGAAGTCTCAGAAAGTATCAAAATAATTATTCTCTTTCACTTTCAGTCCTAAGTATGAAAACATCTGATGCTAACCATGGTACTTCTCTTAAAAGTTTTTGTTGCTTCTGGTTGCCTAGACTTATTTTGTTGTACAAGGCTCTTTATATTCTGTTCTTAATCTACCACTCAAATAAAATATTTTACCACTCCCTATACTTCTAGCCACAGTGAAATTCTTAACCATTATTTATACACTACATGGAATGGACCCAAATTCACATGTTGAAATCCTAATCCCCAATGTGATGTCATCTATGAGAGGTGATGATGTCATGAGTGGAGTCTTCATGAATGGGAATAGTGTTCTTAAAAAGAGACCCCAGAGAGAACTGTTGTTCCTTCTGCTATGTGAGGACACTGAGAAAATGAAAATCTATGAACTGGGAAGAGGGACCAACCAGACACTGAATCTGGTAGGATCCTGAACTTGTCGCAGCCTCCAGATAAGAAATAAATGGTTGTTGTTTAAGCCACCCAGTCTATGGTATTTTTGTTATAGTAGCTTGAACAAACTAAGATACCATGTTAGGACCTTTGTAAATTCTCTATGCCTTTTTATGTGTCATTTAAATTTTCTGTTTTTCTCTCTCCCACTCCCCCTGCCACTTTTTTTTGGCCTGGTAAGCTCCTATTCTTTCTTCAAGACCCAGTTTGAATGTTATCTCCTCTGAGAAGTCTTCAGGGGTTTTTTAAAGGCAAAGTGATTGTTATTGTCTGTTGTATGACTGCTTTTCCAAATAGGTAGTAAACTGCAGGACATGAGGGAAACTGTTTTAATAATCTTTGTATTCTCATCGCCTGGCTCAGAATGGGAGCTTACTGAATGCTTAATGAATGGAAGAATATCTTGTCAGTCTGTGAGAAACACAGTTGTCTTCCCACCTAAATATAGCCATTTATAATTTTTCTGTAGCCATAATATAATAATGAGGAACATGAGGTTATCCTGACATTTTCAAGGCCTCCATAGGTATTTTTTTGAATTAAAAAAAATCCTGATCCACAACTGCTTAGAAAGAACTTTTAAAGTATCTTTCTGTAATTCCTTGAGCATATAAAAATTTCTGTATTTTATTTTCCTCTAGAGAGAACTGAACATTTAGAAAGCAATTTACAAAGCAGAAGCAACTTAAACAAAACAAATGGTTGAAGGAAAAAAGAGGCAAACAAAACAACAGTTTCTTAACTATAGAGAATAAACTGGTGGCTACCAGAGGGGAAGTAGGTGTGGGGATGCGTAAAACAGAGGAAGGGAATTAAGAGTACACTTACTGTGATGAGCACTGAGAAAATACAGAACTGCTGAATCATTATATTGCACATCTAAAACTAATACAACACTGTAGGTTAATTAAACTAAAATTAAAAAAAAATTTTTAAAAAGCAGAAGCAACTTACTTTGTTTCGATCTTGTACAACCAATATTTTTCCAGTATTTTCATCAAATACAGCTCCTGTTGGGGGAAAAGTAAAAGATATTGAGAAATATTTCTTTCACCTTGGACTCCTTCCATATGCCTATCTGTGGTCATCAAAATCGTACCCATCCTGGAAGGCCTAGATCAATTACTACCTCATCCATGGACACTTTTAAAATCTCTCCAGCAATAAACTGCTCAGTTTCTCAGGTTCTTTTAACAACCTGGAATACTAATGATGGTTCTAGCATATGCTAAATTGTAGGATAACCAGTTCCATAAGTTTCTTCTCTAGATCATCTATTCTTGATGGTACATAAAGAAATTAATTTTTCTATCCTTCCGTAGCATTTATTTTAATGTCATATCTTAAGTTCTTAAAAACATTTATTGAATAAATGAAGTGGCTTTTCTATTCTCATTTTTCTTCCTTGTATAGAACATGGATTGTGCCCCTGATAATCTAAGTCTCAAATATCTCAACATTCAGTTCAGGATCTCCCTGAAGCCACTTACATGTATGTATTTTTTTTTATCATGTGTGTATATGACTTTTATAACATACTAATATGTTGCTTTGGGATAATTGTTTATTTTATATATGTCCTAAGTTCTAATCCTTTCATTTATTCATTCAGTATACACACTGCCAAGCATACTACACATTTGGCTAGATGTTAGGGACTCAAATAAAGAAGGTTTATTAGTTTTTTGACAATCCTGGGTCAAAAATATAAATGATACCTTAATGATTTGTATTAACTCCTTTAAATGCTATAATTTAAAAACATTTATATTTGCATAATATGAGGAAATATTGTTAAAAAGATATATTCAACACACTCTTTTAAGATTGAGTTCCTATATATAATACTTACGGGTTCTTTATATAGTAATTGACCCCTGTTATATGTCAGGCATTTATTGAGGTGCTAGGGATATAGTGGTAAACAAAACAAAATTCTCTATCCTCAGTGGGCTTACATTCTGGTGTGCGTATGAGAAGGTAACAAATAGAAAACAAATTATATAGAACATGAGGAGACAATGCTATGTAGAAATAAAATACAGAAAGGTATAGGTATATATAACACAAGGAAGGACAAATTTCTCTGAAATGAAAACTGCACATTTTAGTGTTTAAAGAAAGGAAAACCACTAAGTGAGATATAATTAACATTAATGCTGGCTTCCATTAGAAAGCATAAACTATAATTTAACTGGACTTTATAAGGGTTAGAATGCCAAAGAAATGCCAAGAAAACCTACTCTTAAATTTTAATAACTTGTGATTACTCAAATTGCAATTTTCCCTAATGAATTATAAACAAGAGCAAAAATACTTCAAAGACAAAACCAGCAAAGCTAAAGCACAATGCGAGCGACCCCTGCTGGTCACAACTTAAAAGATAAATAAACACAAAGAGATCAGGGATTAAAGAGAGATTATTATTTTATTATGATTAGTCAGGTACTGTGCTAAGTGCTTTATGTACATTATCTCAGGTATTCCTCACAATACTCATATGAGTGGTATCATTTTTAGTGCCTAGGTTCACACAACCCTAAAACTGTTTGGATTCTGAGCTGGTATTCTCACTATGCAACTGTGTCCCTTCCCTACACAACTGTGCTCTCTGGGGACTTGAGTTTCCACCTGAAGAGCCATCTAATCATTCAAGAAATATTTATCTACTTTATGCCAGACAATGTCTTGAACCTGACAAGACAGTGGTGGAAAAGACAGAATATCTGCCTTCACAGAGTTTATATTATTGTGGGAGAAATTAAGTACCTGGTATAATTTTAGATTGTCATGGTGCTATATAGAAAAACAGACCTGGATAAAGGGGCCACGAATGATGAGATTGGCATGCAGGAGGACTGTATTTTAGACAGGAAGGTCAGGAGACTTTTGAGATGTTGGAGCAGAAACTTCAGCTCTAAAGAGCTAGATAAAGCCCTGGCAAAGAGCATTACAGGAAGAGGAGCCAATAGGTGTTAAAGCTCTGAGGCAGACACAAGCTCGCTGTGTCTGAAGAACAGTAACAAAACCATAGCTCACTCCATTCCAGTGTAGGGGAGGAAATATTTTTCCTCTACCCACTTAGGTTATGTATCTAGGGCTGTGAACTGAGCTGACAGATTATCTTCTGTCAGATTAATGGAGAAAAAAAATACATATTTTTTTAATTTATTATATTTACATGGACTGGGTGGTGATGGAAGATGATTAAAAGGAGTGAAAATCCCAAAAAAGTGTTTAAGCCCAAGGGCATATATATATCATTTTAACAAAGAGCAATGAATTATGGAGCCAAGACAAAAGAAAAAGGGGGTTGGGATAAGGGAGGTAAATGGTGGGAAAATGACTAGGACATACATGGGGGGAAATTAGGGATACAAGGGTCATTTTAATAAGGTTTATTTGTATAGACTCGACTTGGTGTCAGCTCACCATCTTCCATAAGAATGTCTCCTCTTCCTGGTACAAAAATTTATGCTCTGCTTTTAGGTTAAAAAAAAAAAAAAAAAAAAAAAAAAGACCCTTCCTGTATCTAGTGTTTCTCGAGCTCAAAATAATCAATATGCCAGAATGGTGTATTTTGTGGTGATATGTTCATCTGCTATACCTACCTCCTGTTGTTTAGAACAATAAATGTCAATTATTTTCCCTTCACCTAAAAAACACTATACCTTTCCAAAACAATTTCTTATATGATTTCATTGCCACCCCAATAGCCACTTCATATCCTAGTTATACTTCAAGACTGTTCAAATTCCAGATCTCTCATTGCCTGAACTCCTACGGTGTATCTTATCTATAATACATACTACAGTATTTAGTTACAAACAAGGGCTTCATAGTATACTCTTTATGCATATATTACTAATTCTGTAGTAATAACTGGATTTAAAAGTTTAATTTAAAAGTCTGTACCAATGAATTGTTAATTGCATGACTTTCTAATGAAGTGTGAGGGTGTCATCAAATTGCCAAGTAGTCTTTTGAAGTAGAGCAGAATGGAAATTTCTGTCTCTATTTGTTAAAAGTGAGTGAGATCATGGATACAGAAAACATTAGGCATCCTTGAACAACTCCTTTTTAACCTCAAAGGTGCAAACTACCTTTGAAAATGCTTGTAAGTTGTATGAAGGCAAATAAAATTATTAGTTACTAGCTTACATATAATACTGCTTTCATTTAAGTCATAAGGAGTCTTTACTGTTTCACTTTTCCAGGAAGTCTAAGATTTTTCTTAGCCCTGGTTCTCAAAGGATGGTCCAGGGATTAGAATTAACATTAGCAGTAGCAGCAAAGAATTTATAAGAAATGCAAATTTTCTGGCAACATCCACACTAACTGAATCAGAAATTCTTAGATGTGGGGCCCAGCAGGGTGTTTTCAGCAAGTCCTCCAGGTGATTTTGATGCACCCTACAATTTGAGAAGTCCAGTCTTAACGTGGAGCAAATTTCTCAAGACCACATCTTTGGAGTTAATCAGTGGCTTGAAAAGTCTGTAATATACTTAAATTGTGTATCTTCAACAATTGTTTCACACCGTAACTTAATGTAAATATCCTTAAGAAGTAATGCCCAAATAAAAAATCTGCTTTCCTTTACCTTAAATTTCACCTAAAAGTTATCTTGTACTTAACACACTTACATAATTAGTACTAATATGTTTTACCATAATGACTTACTCCTGATCCTAATTCAGTGTTAATATTTGAGTACTGAAGTTCAAATACCTATGTAAAAATGTTGAAAATTATCCTCTGGAAAACTAAACACCAAACTTGCTTGGTGTGCTGCCCTCTGCTGATCCGTAAGACAAACTTCTTCTGTTTAAAGCACTCCTTAATAATCCCAAAGATCAAGCTGTTCATTACACATGAATAAAATATCACTTAGCTGTAAGAAAAAATTGGGCGAAACCGCTAAAAGGTCAATTTTACTGTTAGTTTGAAACTGACCTGCAACTCCTACTTGATGTGTAGCATATCCTGGTAATCTGCTGGGTCCCTCTCCCAGCCACAGTGTCAGAGTAGATGAATCCGATTCTGCATGGTGAAAGCAGAAACCCAGGGAAGCAGCAGGGGCAATAAATCGGCTTTGGAGGATGGGAATGTGCAGCCATACCGCTATCCTACCTTCTGATCTCCATTGCTGTATTGCAGCTAAAATGCAGATGAGGATAAAAATCTGTAAACATTTTCCAGTGAAAAGAGTGGAATAAAAAACTCATCTCAGGTGTCACCCCTTCCAAAAAGCCATCCTAAAACATCCACCTCCCTTAGTTAGCTAGGAAGGGCTGGGGAGGGGAATCCTAAAATGCTCTGTTTATATCACCAGTACAGGAACTATTTTTTTTTTTTTTTTTTTTGTAATTAGGACCTTGTTACGGGATTTTTCCAGTAGACCGAATTCCTTGAGGATAGAGTTGGTAATTCATATCACCTGACACACTGCGTGGCATATAACTGGTGTTCAATATTTGTAGAATGAACAAAAAAACTTGATTTAAACTAAATACATTGCTGTTCCTTTTAACATCCTTAGTTTTAATCTTTATAAATGACTCTTATGGGCTTCTACTTACACTTTAAGAGTTCTATCATAATTTTTTTGGCTTATAAATTTCAAGGTAGTTAAAACTTTTTTTTTTAAAAGATTTCATTTATTTATTTGACAGAGATCACCCATGAATATAATTTTGGCATTGACATCACACCATATATAATTTACAGCATATCTTTTACTACTTATTATAAACATTTTGCTGTCATTAAAATTTGTAAGGAACGTAAGTTTTTAATGACTGTATAATTTTCCTCAGATAAGTACACCAAAAACTACTTAACGAACCTCTTACTCCTGGATAAATTATTTCTACTTTATAAATAATACCAAGATGAACGTAGATTTTTCTGTTTTGACTTCTGTAAATTCTCTTAAGATTGAACCAGAAGAAAAAGATGCCAACATTTGGTCCTCACTAAGCTCCAGACACTGTATATCTATTATCTCGTTAAGTTCTCACAGCCTGAAAAGCAAGTATTATCGCCCCTAATTTATGGGTGAAGAATACAGCAGTATTCTCAGGTCATTTTCTCCATCTATCACCTCACTTAATCTTTACAATAATCTTGCAAATTGTGTGCATGTATGGTGGTGGGAAGACTTGATTATTCATTTAATGGTTAATTTCTTTTTCCGCCTCTTCTCTTCTCCAGCTGTGCAGTGACTCCCTGTTAAGGACCATGTTCTCTACCTCTTTAAAAGGCAGTGGGTCTAATACAGTGACAAACATATGGGAGCCTTTCATAAAAGCTGCTTGATTTGGGACTATGGAGTCAGATCCTTCTCACCCATTTCTTTCTCTGATTTAAATCTTTTTAAAATTGATGTACAACTACATAAAGGGCACAAATCTTAAGTGTACATTTAAGGAGTTCTGACATATACATACACCTGTGTAACACATTCCAATAAAGATTACAGAACATTTCTATGACCCCAGGAAATTCCCATATCCTCCCTAATCATTCTAATCAAGTGAAAAGATAGTTTGACTTAATAACAAAATTTGCACTAGCTCTTAGAGGCAGCATAATGCATTAAGAACAGATTCCAGGGGCGCCTGGGTGGCTCAATGGGTTAAGCCTCTGCCTTCGGCTCAGGTCATGATTCCGGGGTCTTGGGATCGAGCCCCGCATCGGGCTCTCTGCTCAGCAGGGAGCCTGCTTCCTTTCCTCTCTCTCTGCCTGCCTCTCTGCCTACTTGTGATATCTGTCAAATAAATAAATAAAAATCTTTATAAAAAAAAAAAAAGAACAGATTCCAGAGCCAAGGGAAATTAATCTCTCTGTGCCTCAGTACTATCACCTTTAAAATAAAGGTAACAGTATTTATCTCAGGGTTGTTATGAGGATTAAATGAATTAATATTTGTGAAGTTCTTAAGTGTCTAGCAATAGGAATTCATAAATGAAATATTGTATTTAAAAAACTATAAAAAGTATATAGCACTATGTAGATTATAAATTAGTTTCCTATAATTTATCTTTGATCACCACATGTATCCAGTAAAATAATTAGGGTTGGCATTATTCACCTAAGCAACCTAAGAGGCAAATATTTAGTGGTGGTTTGCCTAATGGCTAAGCACCCGTCAGAACCCGGGACTTGAAATCTGGATGTGTGACTTTAAACCCAACACCCATGCTTTGCCTTTTAGACTAAGGAAGTGCTTTAACCACCTGGCCACTGACAACAAGTCTGTGCAATAAACACCTGTGTCTTCCCACACATCGGTAGATATATTAGAGCTAGAACATTCGCTTGATTCTTCTATGGCTGATACTGTTGGAGTCAGCAATTATTCACAAGTAGGATAGAAAATGCGGTGAAGAGCCAAGTAGTTTGGGTAGGAGAATGATTAAAGAATGAACTAGCTGAATTATATTGACATAGATGCTCATTTGCCATATTCCTCATTATCTGAAGTTTTCTTTGAGTGACAGGATCTTTCCAATGCTGAATTTCCGTGCTAGGCCTTCAAGTCAAATAAAAGAACCTTCAGGGGCAGTCTGATAAACTCTGAACCAAATCACCGGCTTCTCTCAAAGTGAAAGCGCCTCCATCTAAGCTGTCTTTCCTATCTTTAGACTTAAGTTCAAGGAAAGCAGAGTTTTCTTATTGAAGACTGAAAGCGCCCACTACCCTCCCTGGTTAATCATAAAAGATTTGTTGCTTTGTCTCTAGCAAATTCCAGTTCTTGATGCGTCAGCCTGACCCAATTGGTGTACAAAAATGACCACTCTGGTCCATTCATTGTTCACCACCCGTATAGCGTTGTCTCGGGCAAAGTGCCCCGAAGAACTAAGTCCCGGTAAATATTAACACTACTGAGCGCTAAGTATGTGGGAGAGGCCGAGCTAAGCACTTTATATGCATTACCCTACGTAAACCCCCAGCAATCCTATGCGTTACTAACCGGTTTTATGGAAGGGTAAATGGTAGTTTACAGAACTTGCCGAAGGTCACACACTAGGAAGTTGGTCAGAAACTAGGGCTGCCGATCAGCAAGTCTGGGATAGCTACAATTTCAACCAAGTGCCTCAGAAACCTCCCACAAAGGGAACAAGAAGGAAACAGGGGAAGTTGGTACGGGTCATGCCTGCCCTCTCTCCCTCGGACTCGGTACTTGATTGACGGAGACCGTGTTAGGTGGTTGGGGGCCCCGGTTACTTTATTAGAAAGGTTCCGGAGCCAGGGAACCCCACCGCCCAGGCACACTTGCCCTGCAAGCGCCTCTGGAATGAGGCGGCGTCCAGGCGGTCCAAGGCGCCGAGCCGTGCCAGGCGCACCGAGACGCCCCCGAATCTGTCCAGCTCTCCCCGCAGTTCTTCCGCTCCGGCGGGGGTGTCCCACCTGCAACCCAGACCGTCCGAAGCCCCGCGGTGCCCAGCCAACAGCCTTGTGCTGCAGATCCGCAGGAGCACTGCGCGCCGAAAACTCCCGCTAGTTAGAGGCGGCATTTACAAGTTGGCGTCCTATACCGCTAGCTCGACCCTTAAATCAAGTTTCCTTTGAGTTCCGAGAGCGGAGGTTGCTCCCGTAAATATTAGAAGAGTGCCAGCCGAAAGTTGTGCTAACGTTACAACTTTTTTTTTTTTTTTCCGGCGCTATACCGAAGTAACCGCGAAGTCCTGTCCACTAGCTCCTCTCAGAAATTTGTCCGGTTTCAGGAAAGCCAGAGAGAAACTTTTCGGCCACTTTCTTTTTCTAGTTTAAGTCAACAGACGTTTGTTCAGGGATAGAAAAGGCGGGAAGAAGTACTGCGCTCCACTTGGGGGATTACGGTGGAGGGCGGAGTCTCCTTGACTTCTGCCCCGGAAGTTTTTCTTTCAGAGACACGAGCACGTTGAGCCGGCTTTGCGGCAGCCTTTCCTAGGCTGCCTTATGATCATGTCTTCCAAGAAGAACAGAAAACGGCTGAATCAAAGCGCAGACAGTGCTTCAACCTCGCCCTCTTCTGCTTCCTCTCTTTTGGGGCCCTCGGCGTCTTCTGCTGGGCCAGGAGCGGCGGCAACGGCCGGGATTCTGGTTGTGATCAACTTCTTAGAAAAGGGTAAAGCGTTCTGGGTGGGAGGCCTGAGACGGAGGGGCGGCAACTTAAGACGTAGACCTTTAGGTGATGCCGCCTTTAAGGTGCTAAGGCTTTTGAAAATTGGGCGACACAGAGGTGTGACAGTGGCACGCAAGTTTGTACACCCGAAGTCGTGCCTGCCTTGGAGAAGTTAGGAAGAAACGGCTTATCCGTGGATAAGTCCCGCCATCACTTTTGTAAATTGTTTTGAATTTGTAAATTGAACTTGAAACAACTTTTCCTCGTTTAAGATTTACGGCACATTTAACTGTAAAATTACTTAAAGCTACGAGCATAGGATATATATACTAGAAAACTAAACAGTTCAGTAAAGATGTGGATACATCTTTACTAAGAGAGATTAATGTGTCTCCAAGAATGAAAGACTTCAGGATGTGTTCTTTTACACAGATTCTAGTATTTAATAACAGCTACCGATTACATAGTATTGTTGTCAGTAGTTTGGGTATGTCACATACATATCTCATTTAACCTTCATAGAAGCCCTGGAAGATGGATGCTGCATTATTATGCCTATTTGAGAGAGGAAGAATAGTTAATGTGATTGGCTCCAGGTTCCACAGGTGCCAACTGGCAGGCAGAATTTGACTTTAAAGACTTTATCCTAGTTCAGAGCTCCCTTGAGTTAGGAAAATGGATTTATCTGAAAATTTAGTTGTTAAAGCTTCTGTGTGTGGAAACGGTGTCATAGCTTTGAAAAAATGGAACACCAGCTAAACTGGGGGCAAGAATTTCATGTCTAATGCACACCCTAATGACAATCTTAGAATTAGCACAGTGTTTTCAGTCTCATTTAAGGATCAGAGGATAACTTGTTCTGTCCTGTGTATTTAATCTCTTTCAACTGGATCCTTCCGATTGAAATTTAAACCTGCCGATTTCTCTAACATCTTAAATCAAAACAAAAGTTCCACATTTTCTTCTTACCACCACCCTACCTCTTTCCATCCTTTCATTTCCAAATTTCTTCTCTCTTTTCTTTCTTTTTTTTTTTTAGATGCTATTTTTAAGTAATCTCCCAATGTCGGGCTTGAACTCAAAACCCGAGATCAAGAGTCGCAGGCTCTGCTGACCAAGCCAGCCAGGTGTACCTCATTCCCAAGTTGCATAAATGGAGTAGTCTCTCTCCTCATCTCTCACCTACTCCTTAGTCTATTAAAATTTTGACGTTTAAGTTTTGACAGTATCCCATCATTCTATGGAAACTATCCCTGTCCTGGTCACTGATCATCTCCATGTTCATAAATATAAAGGACAGTTTTTCTTTACTTCCCTTACTTGACCTCTCAGGAACTTTTGGCATTGTCTACCATTTCCTTTTTCTTAAAACACTTTAATTTTGGGGAATGCTTGGGTGGCTCAGTCAGTTAAGTGTCTGCCTTTGGCTCACGTTATGATTCCAGGGTCATGGGATCAAGCCCCTCATTGGCCTCCCTGCTCAGTGGGAGGTCTGCTTCTCTCTCTCCTCTGGCCCCTCCACGTGGCTTGTGCTCTCCCTCTCTAATGAAATCTTAAAAAAACAAAACAAAACCCACTTTAAGTTTTGGCTATGTGCCCTTAAACTTTCCTAGTTTTTCTCCATCCTTTCGTTGGTAGGTAGATTTTCAGTTTCCTTTGCAGGCTCATTTTCTGCTTGGCTGCCAAATGTTCCTCAGTTCTTAGTCCTAACACCCTTTTTTCCCTGTATAAATCTTTTTTTTTTTTTTTTTTTTTGGCAGGTTCATCCAATGTCCAGAGTTTTCCGTCTATAATCATTTTTGAATTTATATTTGTACTTTATACTATTTATGAATCTTGGTTTGGGCACCTTCTAGACCAATACTACTTAAACTCTGTAGGTAAAGTTTTGTGTGTGTGTGTGTGTGTGTATTTGTTTGTTTAAAGATTTTATTTATTTATTTGGTAGAAAGAGACACGGAGAGAGGGAACAGAAGCAGGGGTGGAAGAGGGAGAAGCAGGCTTCCTGCCCAGCAGGGGATCCGATGCATGGCTCTATTCCAGGATGCTGGAATCATGACCTGAGCCGAAGGCAGCTGCTTAAGGACTGAGCCATCCAGGCACCCCTAAATATGGTATGTAGGGGTCGGTTAAGCATCTGCCTTCCGCTCAGGTCATGATCCCAGAGTCCTGGGATCCAGCCCCGCATCGGGCTCTCTGCTTAGCGGGGAACCTGGCTTCTCCTCTCCCTTTGCCCCTCCTTCAGCTTGTTCTCTCTCTCTCTCACTGATATGTCATAGCATAGCACTGTTGTAAAATACAGTGAAAAGAAATTACTAGAAAAATAAGTTCAAAAATAGAAATTTTTATTAGATTCAACAGATGTAGGATTACTCTGTCCAGTTGTAATAAAAGCTTCTAAACCCTTATTTGTACTTACCCCATCATGACAGTAACAAATAGTTTGCTGACCACACTTTGTATAGCATTGTGCTGTACATCTCTTCTTGGATTTTTCTTCCTTTTTTTTTTAAACATTTTATTTTATTTATTTTTTTTAAAGCTTTATTTACTTATGAGAGAGAGACAGAGAGAGAGAACGAGCTGCTGCTTGGTGTAGCCTACTGCCCTGGGAGATCTTGATCTTCCTTACATGGCTCCTTGTCTCTTGACATTTTGCTTATACTCGTTCCTTAGATGGACTATGCTGCCTTCTGTTCAGACCTCTCTGTACAAGCTGTTCTCTTTGCCAGGAGTTATTTTCTTTTTCCTTTTTGTTTTGTTAATTCCTACTCTTCCTTTGGATCTGAATTTTTAAACATTACTTCCTTGGAGAAGCATTCTCTGTTTCTTCCAAATTAGATTCCGCTTAATAGGCTCTCTCAGCATTCTCAGTCATTCTTGCATTGTATTTTAGTTTAAAATTACACATTTACTAAGTGATTGTTTAATAACTCTCTCATCCTATTAGATTATAAGCTCTGTGAGGCCTAGGACCATCCACTTCTGTTCACTTTGTATCCCTAGTGCCTAAAATATTACCTGCTGTGAAGTAGGCATGTAATAAATGTTTGCTGGATGAACCAATGAAGAGGTGATGGTTGTATGAAATCACCTTTACTAATCTGGCACATGAAATGCTCAATAAACGTATAGTGAACCAATGGGGAAAGTGGATGTTGAGATGTATTTTTGAAGTACAGTATTGGAGCAAAGAGGACTGCTGAAAGGAGTTGTGTGGAATACAGCTTGAATAGATTTGAATGCTGTGAGAAAATACACGGAGATATGTTAGGAAATAAGGCCAGTGGATGAGAATTTGAATGCGATTTTCATGAGGAAGTGGAGGTATTTAGAGAACTTGTGATTTGTTCAACCCTGGTGCCCAGTGAATGTGCAGGACAGGCTGGAAGGAAGAGAAGAAAACCTAGAATCTTGCCAAAGATTGAATACATCTGTGAGGTACTTATCAAGAGGGAAGGGTAATTCACTGAGGTGTAGGAAGAGAGAAGTGGCAGAAACTGAACCTTATGTGATCACCAAAAGGATGCTTTGGTGTTATTGATGAGTAAACTATGTAAGAGGCCTAATGCTCATAGAAAAGCTGAATTTCTTTTCAGCTTCATATTATGAAATACACTTATTTTATAAAAGCTCAGTACTGTTAATTTTAGCTCCATGAGATGCTTTGTTTTCCTATATTTGTTCAGCTGATGACAGAAGGAAAATACATACCTGGGGTAGTTATTTTGTAGTGGCAAAAAATAATTAAATGAGACATGGTTCTTGGTTTTGCTTTCATTTACTTTGTTCCTTTTCAATTACAAAGTATTTGTGTTTTTATTATTAAGGAACACTAATATTAGAGAACTATGATTATGGTACATGTGTCTAAAAATAAATTTTCTAATACAGCTTGTGACAGGCTAAAATTTCACAAGTGTTTCATGGATTTTGTGCTGGGAAGAAAAACACTGTGTAGTCACCTACTATGTTCATTGATTTCATGGAAATTTATTATGTAACTTCTTTTTTAAATTTTTTAAAAAAGATTTTTATTTATTTGACAGAGAAAGACGAGAGAAGGAAAACAAGCAGGGGGAGTGGGAGAGGGAGAAACAGGCTTCCTGCTGATCAGGGAGCCCATGCGGGCCTCAGTCCCAAGACCCTTGGGATCACAGCCTGAGCCAAAGGCAGATGCTTAAGGGCTGAGCCACCCAGGCGCCCCTGTTATGCAGCTTCTATATTTGATGCACTCCTGGGCATTGGAGATACAAAGATGAATTTGACCCAGTTTGTGCCCCAAAGCAGCATATGGTTTAGGAGAAAGTCAGATTATAAAACAAATGTATATTATGATGATAAATGCTAATATTTGGCAGCATAGCGTGCTGGAAGAATCAGAGGAAGGACCAAATATGGACCTTGAGGAAGTGGAGGGGGCAGGGTGGACATGTTAGCACATGATTTTCAGAGGTGTTGCCAGCTGGGTCCCCTTTGTGGCCAAAAGTTGAAAACAATAATGGTCATTTTAGTCTGTTTGTGCTTGCCTAAGGAATAAGACCTGTGCTATTATCTTACCCACGTATTCTTGGGATTAAAAAAGAAAAATATCTGACTGGTATCAGGTGGATCAGAAGTGAAAATGTAATTTAACCCTCCAGAACTAAATGCCGGTTTCCCAGCTCAAGTCTTTGAATACCAGTAGTTGACTCAACTGGAATCTGTAGTACAAAATGTTACTATGCGAATATGAAAAGACCATTGCAGGTATGTTCAGTTTTTAAAGAAATTAGAGTTTATTTTTCTTAAAGGGTGAAAACTAATACCTATCCCATAAGACATATTTTTTTACTTGGCGCTCATATTGTCAGTCAGTGGACCCTCAAAAAGGTTTGGTTTTAAGTCTTTTTGTTAAAAAGAAAAAAGAATTGGAACTGGTTTCTCTAGGGTATGTTAAGTGCATTCATGTGGTTATGTGGTTAGAAGATTTTTATTTACACCAAAAGAAAGCAGGCTTTAACCTCAGCTATAAAATAGTATGAAAATAGTTTTCTTTCCCTTTTGGTAGATGACAAAGTTCCTAAAACCTTCCAGAATTCCCTCGTTCAGCTTGGACTCAACACTATGAAATCTGCAAATATATGTATAGGTCGGCCAGTGTTGCTTACCAGTTTGGATGGAAAACAAGAGGTAAGACTCTTTTTCATTTCCTTAATTTAGAAAGATCTGAGATTTTTTTTACTATGATTTTCAACAAAGCAGTAATAAATGAAAAACTATATTTTAAAAGATCCTTTCATCAATATAAACTTTTCCTTCCTTTGATATCTGTGACTATCCTGAGAATAGTAGCCCGTAAATGTCATAATGTAGAGAGAGGCCTTTTCTCCTGAGGTAGTGACACACATAGTATATGCTCTATTCCCCCCAGTCTGTTAGTTATATTTTTTTTTCACAGAAATGCTGTTGGGGAGTATGAAAGTCATCTCTTCTGTATACAAATATTTTATTGCCCTTCCTGTTTTCAGCTGTTTGTTCTTGCTACTCTTCATCATACTTGAGGCTGAAAGCCCCGAATCTCGCCTGGTTCTGCCTTGCTGCCAGCCTCTGCCTCTGCCATTTCCTCTGCTGCTTCAGTAGCCAGGGTACTCTCATTCAGCGAGGTCCTCCGAAAATGATTTGAAATCTGTTATGTGCTGGGGCGCCTGGGTGACTCAGTTGGTTAAGCAACTGCTTTCAGCTCAGGTCATGATCCCAGGGTCCTGGGATCGAGTCCCACATTGGGCTCTCTGCTCAGCGGGGAGCCTGCTTCCTCTCTCTACCTGCCACTCCCCCTGCTTGTGCTCTCCTGCTCTTAATCTTAAAAAAAAAAAAAAAAAAAAGCTGTTTTGTGCTGATGGCACACCTTTCATTCTTTTCATTATTCTTGAAAAAAAAAAAAAAAGTCCTTTGCTGTGTCTTGTGGAAGACTATAAATATGTGAGCCCAGCCCACTATTTGGAGCTAGAAGTCTTTGCTTCTGTCCCTTAACTTTTAATTCTGATGAAATCCAGGTTCTCATGAAGTTCTTGTACCAGGTCCTTCACTATTTCCTGGATGTATTTTATGCTTCAGGCCGGATTACCTTACAGTTAGTTTGTCTTTAGTATTTTTTCCTATTTTCTATTTATTACATGTTAATGCCTTTGTCTCTTTTCCTAAATTACCTTTCAGATATTCAAATTATTTTCACTGTGGGATCATTGTTAATCTTCACAAGAAGATATAATTTTTATCTTAAAAGTTTTTTTTTGTAACTTGTCAGGTTGTAACTCCTTGGGGTTAAGGACTGTGTTTTGCAGATCCATATGATTAGCTGGGCTTAGTTTTCTGCTTTATAAATTAATGATAATCTATGAATATTTCTTTTCTCTTATTTTTGTTTTCTGTGTTCTGGGCAGGTCTATACGGCCTGGCCTGTGGCAGGATTTCCTGGAGGCAAGGTTGGCCTGAGTGAAATGGCACAAAAGAATGTGGGCGTGAGGGTTGGTGATGCCATCCAAGTCCAGCCTCTGTTGGGTGCTGTGCTACAGGCTGAGGAAATGGACCTGGCACTCAGGTTTGTCTCTTTTCTTTGGTGACATTTTGGATCAGTGCTGCCTAGTAGAAATAGAACAAGAATCACAAATGTGAACCAAATATGAAATTTTGCATTTTCTGGTAGTCACATTTAAGAAGGAAAATGAAATTGGTGAAATAGTTAACATTTAATTTAATCATTATTTAAGTATTATTTAATATTTAACTAGTTATCATAAAATTTTAACTTATAGTAACTATAAAAAACTATTAATAAGATACTTTTCAAACTAAGTCTTGAAAATCCAGTGTGTGTGTTATACTTGTAGCACATCTCAATTTGGACCAGCCACATTTAAGTGCTTGATAGCCTCACGGTGAGTGGCTGGTGGTCTGCTGTATTAGCACAAACTAGATGAGTCCACCTAACGTATGGACTAGAGACTCTCTGGTATCCTGTGGTTAGAGTATGCCCTGATATTTTAGGCGAGAGGAGTTAATATTAATGAATATTTAACAACGGTGTTCATCTTGTTTAACAGTGTAATCAGGGCTGTTGTGAGGGAGGGAGTAGAGTACTGTGAATAGGCAAGAAACAAGTTTTAATCAAGACTGTTCCAGGGATGCTGGGTGGCTCAGTCAGTTAAGCCTGCAGCTCTTGGTTTCAGCTCAGGTTGTGATCTCATGGGTCATGAGATTGAGCCCCCCACCCTCCCACGGGCTCTGCCGCTCAGTGAGGAGTCCACTTGAAGAGTCTCTCCCACAACTCGTGCGTGTGCTCATGCGCTCTCTCTGTCAAATAAATAACTCTTTAAAAACACCAAATATCTTCAAGCAAAGTACCTGATTATATATTTTAACTCTGTGATTATTCAATCCAGTAAAATAGTTATTTCTATCAGTTTTTGAAATGTCCTTTAACAAAGGCTAATTGAATCACTTTATCAATATAGTTAACCTTTATCACTCATCCTCTTGGATACTCTATATCTAATAGGATTGTAACTCAGTTTGCATATGCAAGTCTTAACAAAATTTGTTTATAAAAAGAATCTTTTGATACTTTAATACTACCTTACTAACAGTTTTGGGGATGTGTTTACTTTATATGCAAGAATCACGAAACATTTAACAATCATTAACTTTATTTTTTTAAAAAATCTATTTATTGGGGCGCCTGGGTGGCTCGGTGGGTTGAGCCTCTGCCTTCGGCTCAGGTCATGATCTCGGGGTCCTGGGATCGAGCCCTTTGTCGGGCTCTCTGCTGACGGGGAGCTGCTTCCCCCCCTCTCTCTGCCTGCCTCTGCCTACTTGTGATCTCTCTCTGTCAAATAAATAAATAAAATATTTTTTAAAAAATTCTCTTTATTTATTTGAGAGAAAGAGCGGGCGCACAAGCCGGGGGGCGGGGGTGTGGGGCAGAGTAGGATGGAGAAACAGACTCCACACTGAGCAGGGAGCCTCACTTGGGGCTCAGTTCTAGGACGCTGGGATCATGACCTCAGCTGAAGGCAGACACTTAACTGACTGAGCCACTCAGGTGCCCCTCATTAGCTTGATTTTATTGTTTTCTTTTGCTACTTTTGTAGATTCCAAGCTTAAGCTTCAGCATATATACATATATATATATATATATATATGTATGTGTATACATGTATACGTGTGTATGTGTGTGTGTGTATTTATAAGCCAGGAAACTTTTTTCAGAGGAATTAATAATACTTTAACAATAAAATTAAAGAGGAGAAGAGAACTCAGCATGTGTTGTGCACCAGCTGTGTACGAGCACACACATGCACACACACTTTTCCCTCTTTTCTCATTTAATCCTCCTTCAAAATGCCCGTATTGCCCCTTTCTTAAAGATGAGGAAATGGTCTCCATTATTATATGGGTTAGGTAGTAGTTCTACTCAGATGAAATAATGTTAATCTTTAGACTGTTTTGAGGCAGTGCTGCAGGTTGCAGTCATCAGTTCACTGGATTTTTTTGATGATTTTTTTGTGACCTCTTGAGGGCGCAGCAGTCTTAGGTGATAATGATTGTCTGCTGTAGAGAAACTGTATGTTTTAAAAGGAAGCTTTTTTTTTTTTTTTTTTTTTAAAGACTTTATTTATCAGAGAGAGAGGGAGATAGAGAGCATGAGTAGGGGGAAGGGCAGAAGGAGAGGGAGAAGCAGGCTCCCCACTGAACAGGGAGTCTGATGTTGGGTTTAATCCCAGGACCCTGGGATTATGACCCAAGCCGAAAGCAGGTGGAAGCTTGGTTTTTAAAATTTTACTGAAAAAAACCCTTGTGTTTTAAGCTCAGCAGCAGAGTTTAGATAAGAAACTTAATTTCCAATAAGAAAAATCAGTTGTTTTATTCTGCTGATTAAATCCTTCAATTGCTTCTGAAAGATTTATTAGTGAGGTTAGAGCTCCTTCTAGTGGAAGTGATTTTATCTGCACCCATTCTTTTTTTAAAAGCAAAACTTATTTTTTACTTTTCTTATTCACATTTGCAAGTATCTTCTGTTCAGAGTTTAATAAATAGGAATGGTTTAAGTAACTATAACTGGTTTCAGAGTTCTATAAACAGAAGTGAATTTAAGCATTTAAGGAGCTACAGTTTCCTACATAGTCTGTATATATATTTGATTTGAAATTTCCTTCTGTTTTTCTCTCTCTCCTTTATATGAATATACAGTCAGTTTTCATTATTAGCAGTATGTTCTATAAAATTGCTATGAACACTACATTAGCAAATACTGAACCGTTGCTCCTAGGGGTATGTATGTTTACATATACATGGAATATATGTTTATGTTTAATATTACATGTTTGTATTTAAATGCATATTTAATGTATATTATGAATCATATTAATAACAATATATTTGGTGCATATTTAATATACAAAAATATGTATATCTTATATACATTATAATCTTAAAACAACTCGTTCTGATAGATTTTATCTTTTTTATTTTATAAAAGAGAAGCACTAGTTTAGAAGTGTTATGTGACTTGCCTGAGGCCACCTCACTAACAGATGTCAAAGTTGAGATTCAAATCGGCTGGTACAGGAGCTGGGACTTTTTGCTGTACACCGCACTGCCTCCTGCTATCTCGACTCTCCATCCTCTTGTTATCTCTGAAAGAATTGAAATAAGAGTACTTTCTCGGTTTCAGCTAGGAAAGTGCTTAGCGACTTGAATTTTTTTTGCCTGTTCTGTGCATGTCTATGAATGACTAGGAAAGCTCTGCTGGTATTGATTTTAGGGTTACAAATAAATTTTAGCAAGTAGGTGAATCTGGAAATAATGAAGTTGACTATATTGGTTTTGTTTTTGCTAATACAGTATTTGGAGAACAAGGCTTAGATTTGGACTAGATGGGTCTGCTAATATACCTCTTTCTGAGCTAAACTATTACTTCTCCACTGATCCCTGGCAGAGCTCACAACTGTAGGCCTCCTGTGCTAATGTGGGCTACTTGAATGTGGGGAAGAAGGAAAAATGCTCATATTTTGAGAACTCTCCAAGAACATGTTTCTTTACAAGTGTAATGATTTTTAGATATACCTATTTGTACTCAAGCAGCCTTCTAGGAAGACAATCATTAGTAGGAGAAGGGGTTCTCATATTTCCCTTTCTGGAGAAAGGTATGTCCTTTCTCTAGAAGTAAATTCCGTTATACCATTACTCTCCTTTTTTCTTATCTCTACCTTTTCAGGTAATATCCTATAAAGGACTTAATTTTCCTTAAAGTTGATTTATAAATTATAGAAAGGAAATGAAGTAAGCTATTAATAAAAGCCTTTCTCCAAGCTAGGCAGTTTCAGAAAGGGAGTGGTTAATTTAGGCCAGTGTTTTTCAAATGTTTTTTGGCTATGACACACAATAAAAAATACACTTTGTTGTGATTCAGTGTATGCATACATCCACAGATACAGGGCACATATGCACTCACGTGTGTAGCTGTATACATGAGTATATAGATGTGTGTGTGTAAGATGTGTGTGTGTAAGATGTGTATGTATAAGAAAGTAATGCTTTTCTAAGCGCTATTTTCCCTTTTTATGTGTGGTGTACTTTGACATTTTGTATTCTATTAAAAAAAATGCTGGATGGGATTGAATGAAATGATTTCATGATCCACTAATGGATAGTTCTCTAAATTTTAAAGAACATTGATTTAAGTCATTAGGATACCAAATTGCAAGTGATATTTTCATGGCTATTAGAAGTATCTGAGAAGCATAAATTATTCCCAAATTGTATAAACCATTTCCAGTTTGTAAATTATTCTTTTGACTAGGTCTATAGTACAGCTGTGTACACGTAATTTTATATTACATTTAGTCTCTGGTATACTTAATTCTGATTTTTATTTCCTCCACCTTTTATAGTGACAAAAATGTGGACATTAATGAAGAACAACTGGCTGGTTGTCTTCTGAGAAAGCTAGGTAAATAGTTTTTTAAATTGTAAAAAAGCAAGGTAGCAGTAAATAAAGTAATGTGTTTTTGAGGTCTTGTATAAATCATACTTTTATTCAACATAATGTGGAGTGTTCTTCTTAATTAATTAATGCCCTTTTGGGACAGGAATTTTTTCTCCCCAATTAATTGATTGGCACTTAAGCATTGAAGAGAATATTTGACTTATCTATGGATAAAATCAGTGGGAGAACTGATACTTTTAACCCTTGAGCTCTTCCTCTTTCCAGTGAGAAATGTTATCTTGGAGTATTAGTTAGGTGTGCCATTTTAGGTTCGTTTATTATTGGATGTGGAATGCCAGTCTATTTGTTGATATAGTTGATAGAATCCTAGATATATTGAGTGTGGAGAATTTTAAAGAATTATCTTGTCCTTCTGTCTCCAGATAGTGTTCTATCAAATGGGAATTGTCTCCTTTTTATGGCAATTATTTTATTAATACTCTTTGATTTAGTCTTTTCAGTCAGATAGTTTTGTTAACAGATGGAATAAGTTGCGTTTAAACATGAAATGGGTGAAAAGTTAAGCTAACACATATATTTAAAAAATTATTTTCTAGATGGCAAGATTGTTTTACCAGGCAACTTTCTGTATTGTACATTCTACGGACGACCATGCAGACTGCAAGTGTTGCGAGTGAAAGGGACAGATGGCATGATATTGAGAAGGCCTCAGAATGACTCTGACACTGATGCCCAGGGAATGGCCTATGAACAGTCCAACATAGAAACCAGTACCCTGGATGTATCCCTACAGCTAAGCCAGTTAGATCTGGAAGAGCCTCGAGACCCAACATCAAGCAGTACTCCCTGCAAACCAGTAGATGACAAAACGTTAGATAAAACTAGTGACATTTTGTCAGATGTTACACAGAGTCCTGGGAGCAGCAGTGGACTTGGACTAGGGGAAGTCACAGGACTTAAGTGTAGTTTTAATTCAGCCAGAGGAGAAAATGAGCAACTTGTCAATGAAGAGAGATTGCTAAAGTCAGCATGTGTGGGAACAAAGTGCAACACTGATATTTTTTATTTTATATCTTCAACAACAAGAGTCAATTTTGCAAAGATTCGTACAAATTCAAAAGTGCAAGAGGACCACTTCAAAGTAACTTATGGCATGATAGGAGGCTTAAGTAGTCAGCTGAAAGCGATTAGAGAGATGATCGAATTGCCTCTCAAACAGCCTGAACTTTTCAAGAGTTATGGTATGATTTCTTCAGTGTATTGCACCAGAAGTATTAAATTCAAACAAAAAGCAGTTGGCACATTCCACTTATGTAATAATTGCTCACCCTCTTTTCTTGGTTTTCTTTCCTGAATGGTAGGTATGGTAGGAGGTGTGAGTTGCTTTGGGAGTTGCCAGTTAAGTGAGCCTTTTTCCATGCTTAATCTCTTTAGGTTGTAATGTGAGTTAGTTGCTGCCTTGTCTCTTCTAATTGCATACTTCCACAGTTGTTTGTATTGGATCTAGAATTAGTATCTTGTCATTCTAGATCAGCTGTAATGACCAAAGAAGTAAACCAAACATTCAAATATGTTAGATAAAACTTCTCTGTTAGGAAATATAACTCTGCGGATTTCTTTGCACTGAAGCAAGTGGTTAAGGGAGTGATTGGCTTGAAGGAAACTCAGGGCTTCCTCTGTGTGGTAACTGCCCAGATGCTCTGCATGTATTTGATGCCTACAGTTTGGTGCTTCTTTCTCTGCCTTTTCATTTTTCATGAATCCTTAGATATAAAAATATATGAACCCTTTGACTGACATTTTGCTATTAATGCTTATATAATCTAAGATGACTAGTTGGGTGAAAATTAGGATTGATGGCTTGCTTTGGGTTGCCTTGTTCTTGTCTGAGCTTTGTGTTCTGATCATTGAGCTGTGCTGTGTGGGATGGGGTAGCAATTATGTGGCTGTCCAGCCAGTTTTTCACTAGTGTTCCCAGCCTGGTTGGTTCTAGAGAGAGGGAGAGAGAGAGGAAGTCATTTCTTGAGATCAGTGTTTGGCTAGTTAGTACATTTTTGGGGGAGGGGGACAGGGGCAGGGGGTCTCTTACTTTAGTTTTGTGATACAAGGTAAATTTATATTTTATAACTCATATTTGCAGTCATATGATAACACAGGAAACCTAATAATGCTGAATCCATTGTTCTCTTCTTTTTCTTCTAGGAATTCCCCCTCCTAGAGGAGTGTTACTCTATGGCCCGCCAGGTACTGGAAAGACAATGATTGCCAGGGCAATTGCTAATGAAGTCGGAGCCTATGTTTCTGTAATTAATGGTCCTGAAATTATAAGCAAGTAGGTGCATAATTTAATGGAATAAACAGTGTTATTAAATACTTCTTAAAGGTGATTTTAAAAAATGACTGCATAGCATTCTGTCTGGATATTTCATATGTGAAAATAATTTAAATTTGCTTTTGGTTGTGTATACAAATTAAGCTTGGAAAATAATTTTTGAAAGTAAGTTTAAGTACTCTGGAAGTATTTGAAAAGTTAGATGAGCTTTTATAGACAAAGCTTTAAAAACATTAAGTGTTGATTCTTAAATGCATTTTATTTGTTACAGGTTCTATGGGGAGACAGAAGCAAGGTTACGTCAGATATTTGCTGAAGCCACTCTACGGTATTTACGTGTAGATTTGTAATTAGTAATCTAATTAGTAACTAATTTGTAATTAGTAGTCAAGGCTATGTTTAAGTAGAGTTACTAACACGTTATATGAAACATGAAAGGACACTACAAAAATAATAATGATAGCTTTAGAAATGACTATAAATCTAATGAAGTTGTATTTCATCTATTTTTATCTAATATTGTTTTGTAAGTTTGATCAATGAGTTATTGAATTACCTGAAGTAGGAGAATTAAGACACTGTTGTATGGTAAATCATATGATTTTACTTCAGATATGCATTTCTGATGTTCTTTCTTTAGAGTGCCTATGGTACTTTAGGATATTCAGTTTATCTAGTTACTTTAGTAGATTGTATTATAGTATCCCTTTATGCTTTTTTCTTAAATTATAGTTTGCTTCGAAGGGACAAATGTTTTGCTCTTTAAAAACAATTTTTATTGATTATTCCTCAGTTTAGGCTACCATATTACATTGCAGTGAGTATAAGAATGTGGCCTATAACTTGGTCTAATTATTATTCATAATAAGGCTATGTCTTTGCCATTGTTTTGGCATTTAACTAGCATAATTCTGCTCTCATCAAAAGAACTATTTTTTTTAAGATTTTATTTATTTATTTGCGATAGAGCAAGAGCAAGTGAGAGAGAGAGAGCAAGAGAACACAAGTGTAGGGGGAGGAAAAGGGGCAGAGGGAGAAGCAGGCTCTCCACTGAGCAGAGAGCCTGACACAAGGCTCAATCCCAGAAGGGATCATTATCTGAGCTGAAGACAGACTCTCAACTGACCAAACCACCCAGGCGCCCCCAAAGAACTTTGATTTTTAAAGTTGTTTTTTCCCAGAGATCGTATATGAAATAAGGTAGTCCCTTATAAGGTTTGTAGTCCCAATACTGAAAAATTGAGACCCAGTGGTATACTGTATTGTGTAGTGTGTTTTCATTGTTGTTTTGTTCCTGGCAGTTGAATCTCTCTTTTGTGAGAGAATGCACATCTTTTTTTTAAAGGATTTTTATTTATTTATTTTGAGAGAGGGAGAGAGAGTGAGAGAGAGCATGAGAGGGGAGGTCAGAGGGAGAAGCAGACACCCCATGGGGCTGGGAGCCCAATGTGGGACTTGATCCCAGGACTCTGGGACTGTGACCTGAGCCGAAGGCAGTTGCTTAACCAACTGAGCCACCCAGGCACCCCAGAATGCACATATTTTATGGGAGAACTGATTACTTTGAAAGTTCTTTTTTTAATAGACCAAAAAAAAAAAAAGGAGAGAGAGCACATTTGGAATTTCTGTACCTTGGACTTTACATCTGCTCCAGGGAACATTTCTGGCCTCAGATTCTGAATTGATGCAGTCATAACAATTTACTGGGCATTAGAGGTCAAGCTCTGTTTGGGCATAGACTTATCTCATGAGCAGTAGACTATTTTTAGTACTCTGCTTTTTATTGTTCAGATGTGCTAGAATGTGATGAATTAATAATTTGGGCGAGAATTAATGTAAGGTTTTTCAGTTTAACATCCTGTTGCCTTTGTCTTTAATATTATTAACTGAGTCCTGATTTTGATACATTGGATTTCTTTTTTTTTAAATTAAGTTTTTATTTTAATTCCAGTATTATTTACAGTGTTGTATTAGTTGCAGGTGTACAACAGTGATTCAACAATTCTGTGTGTCACCCTGTGCTCCTCATGACAATTGCCCTCCTTAATCCCTATTAAGGGATTAATAGGGATTAATAGTCATCTATTTCATCCTTCCCTCTGGTAACCATCAGTTTGTTCTCTATAGTTAAGAGTCTGACTTTTGGTTTCTCTCTCTCTCTCTCTTTTTTTCCCCTTTGCTCATTTGTTTTATTTCTTAAATCCAACAGATAATCGTATGGTTTTTGTCTGTTACTTATTTCACTTAGGGTTATACTTTCTAGCTCCATCCATGTTACTGCAAATGGCAAGCTTTCATTCTTTTTGTGGTTGAATAATACTCCATTGTGTATATATACCGTATCTTCTTTATTTAGTTATCAGTTGGTGGACACTTGGGCTGCTTTCCTAATTTGGCTGTTGTAAATAATGCTGCTATAAACACAGGGGGGCACATATCCCTTTGAATTATTGTTTTTGTGTTTTTTGGGTACATACCCAGTAGTGTGATTGCTGGGTTGTAGGGTAGTTCTATTTTTAACTTTCTGAGGAACTTTCTTAGTAGCTGCACCAGTTTGCATTCTGACCAACAGTGCATGAGGGTTGCTCTTCCTCCACATCCTCAACTACACTTGTTTTATGTGTTTTTGATTTTAGCCATTCTGACAGCTGTGAGATGATAGCTCATTGTAGTTTTGATTTGCATTTTCCTGTTAAGTGATGTTGGGCTTCTTTGCATGTTGCTTGTTAGTCATCTGTATATCTTCTTTGGAGAAATGTCTGTTCATGTTTCTGTCCATTCAGTTGGATTGTTTGCTTTTTGGGTGTTGAGGTGTTATCAGTTCTTTATACATTTTGGGTAGTAACTCTTACTGGATATGTCATTTGTAAGTATTTTCTTCCATTAATTTTGGTGTTTGTTTCCTTTGCTCTGCAGGAGCTTTTTATTTGATGTAGTCCCAATAGTTTATTTTTGCTTTTATTTCCCTTGCTTCAGGAAACATATCTAGAAAAATGTTTCTGTGGCTGATATCAGAGAAATTATTCCCTGTGCTCTCTTCTAGGATTTTTATAGTTTCAGGTCTCACGTTTAGTTTTTTAAACCATTTTAGATTTTTTTTTTAAAGATTTCATTTATTTATTTGACAGAGAGATAGAGAGTGTACAAGTAGGCAGAGCAGCAGGGAGAGGGAGAGGGAGAAGCAGGCTCTCCACTGAGCAGAGAGCCCGATGTGGGGCTTGATCCCAGGATCCTGGGATCAGACCTGAGCCGAAGGCAGCCGCTTAACTGACTGAGCCACCCAGGCACCCCTAGATTTATTTTTGTATATGATTAAGTTTCATTCTTTTGCATGTGCATTTCAATTAAAAAATTAAACGTATTCAGTTTCAACTGAAATGCAATAAATCAAATTTAAAAATCAGGTGTATTTTAAAGAATTTATTTTACTTGTTTGTTTTTAGGCACCCATCAATTATTTTTATTGATGAGCTGGATGCACTTTGTCCTAAAAGAGAAGGGGTTCAGAATGAAGTGGAAAAGAGAGTGGTAGCATCGCTGTTAACATTGATGGATGGTATTGGTTCAGTAAGTATAGCACCAGTATCGACTCTGTGTAAGAAAAGGTTGGCTTCTAATAATATATGTATGTAGTAGCAAAAGCTATTAAATATGTCTGAGTTTTGGGGTATTCTAGGGTAGGGAATAATATTAACCATAAAAACTAAAGGAAAGACCCATAAAATAATCTTCTTCAGCAGATATCTTAGTAGCTTCTAGGAGGATATATTGCCATGTTTTTCTAACATATAAAATAATAATATGCAATGATGGATTTTTTTTTTTTTTGGTAGTAATCGTATTAACTTAAAAACCTGAAACAAAAACCATTAAGGATCAGATCAATAAGAAATTTCTTAAGTTTTATATACACACGTAAAAATGTATTCTTTTAAGGCTTTAAGTTGGACAAGTGAAAGAAATGAGTGAGAATAATGGAAAATATGTTTGTACAATGTTTAAAAAGAATCTACCCATGTTACCAGATTCTCTGATAAGGATACACTCGCATGTTAATAAAAACTATGTGCTGATTATGAAAGGAAGATCCATAGGAGTATGACAGGAATGCAGAAACATTCTCTCAGACCCCTGACAGCCATTTACCAGAATACATTTCTTATTCTGGATTGTAAATAACTCATTTTTTGGAGTCAGGTTAGAACCAAAAGAAATTTTAGAACTCATGTAGTCCCAAACCCTCTTTTTGCACATTAAACAACTGGACAGTTGAAACTTTCTGATTTTTACTACCTATTGGTAGAAACTAAGCATGTGAAAATAATGTGAAGGTTGGGTTTTAAGTCTCCATTATTAACGTGTGTTACAGTTTTTAAAAATTATTTATTTTAGAGAGCACGCACAAGTGCTCGTGAGCACATGTGCGCAGGCAGGGGGAGGGGCAGGGTGAGAGGGAGAGAGAACAATGTTAAGTAGACTCCCCACGGAGCATGGAGCCCAGCGTAGGGCTCAGATCCACAAAGCATGAGATCATGACCTGAGCCGCAGTCAAGAGTTGGACACTCAACTGACTGAGCCACCCAGATGCCCCAACATGTGTTACAATTGTAAGTGTAAAAGAAGAGTTGATACCTGAGGGAGGCTCGATGACCACCTGGTTCTCAGTCTTGGTGCAATAATTTGGTGTGATTATGTCCCAGGTTTGGTTCTCAGCTCTTAAAAATTGGAGACTTAGGTGATGCTAGTATGTTGGGGGTGGCAGGGCTCTGAGGACTGCACCTCCGTAACAACACTAACAAGAGACATACATAAATTGGGATGCCAGTTTGTCCATTCACAATAAGATGTAGAATCATTAAGCGAATCAGGTATCTTTGTTTATGGATGACTCTTTCCACCTTGAAGGCAAATATGTATAGAGAGCTGTATTATAATTAGAAGAGTTCTGGTAAGTATGAGATCAGATGGAAGGCTTTATTTTGGAGGCTATTAATTGCTGCCTCTTTCTCTGCTGCTGGGATAGGTCTGCGGTGTACTGGTGGTTTTGCCTGTGGGCAGGACTGGAAGCATGTGACATGGATGTTAGTATGAAAATGCTTAAGGGCCATTGATTCTAAATTCATAACTTACAGATTTTTTGTAATCCATGCATTTTCTGTTAGCACAGCCAGTATAAGTGAATAGGTTTGAGTTTCCTTACTTTGAATCACGTGTCAGTTAAGTTTGTCACTGTGAAATTATACATGGGTCATCAGGATAAATGTCGGATAACTTTCACAGATGGCTGATCATTATCATAGTTCTTTATAACTTGTTCCAAATGTCATTCCTATGTGAAAAATCCATATGTATTCAAGGATGGCTGATGCTCAGGTGTTGGTTCCATCGTTGTCTATATTTCTAGAAATTTAAACATTTATCAGAATAAAAAAAGTACAGTCCACATGTGAATAATATTTTTTAAACAACTGTGTAATAGAGCCTTGTTCTATTTGAATAATATGCAGGTCATAGTCTTTGCCTTCAAGTAGGGGAAAAGGACAACTTAAAGTAAAACAACTATATGGTAAGATATTATGAAAATGGTGACGTTTAGATACCAAAAACGGGAGAGACATCACTTATAGTTGGAGAGGTATGTAGTGGAAAACTTTCTAGGTGAGGGAGTATTTAGGCTGAACTTAGACAAATGGGGGATGAGTAATTAAAGTGTGAAGTATAAGACTTAACAGCCTGGACACTTAGAATCTTGTTTATATAGCCAGTGCCTATATATATATATATATATATATATATATATACACACGCACACACATACACAAAAACATATACCTTTTAGGTATATATACATGGTAATATACATGTATGTATATATTGCTTTTAGATGAATGTGTAATTTATTCTCATTTTATTTTGTAAGGAAGGAAGTGAAGGACAAGTGTTGGTCCTTGGGGCCACAAATCGCCCTCATGCCTTAGATGCTGCACTTCGAAGACCTGGACGATTTGATAAAGAGATTGAGATTGGAGTTCCTAATGCTGCAGATCGGCTAGATATTCTCCAGAAACTGCTTCAAAGGGTACCCCATTTGCTCACTGAATCTGAACTGTTACAGCTGGCAAATGGTGCTCATGGGTACGTTGGAGCAGACTTGAAAGCCTTGTGTAATGAAGCAGGTGAGAGTGCTTTGCTACTGTGAGTCTATATTGATGGGCTTCATAAATCTGGTTTATTTGCATACTTATTTCTTAATGGAAATAGCTGATATTTTTTCTAATCATAAAATAAGTATTTATTGAAAACTAGATAATTCAGAAAACTATAAAAAAAGAAATAAAAATCACTCATACCTCCTGAAGTTAACCACTATAATAGCACACCTCCTTTCACACATTTCCTAAGTACACACAGACACACACATACACATATATCATCAGATGCATTAATGGCAGTATTGACGATGACTATTTATTGATACTGTGCTATGGAAATTAGGGAGGAGAGCCTACAGGTGGATCAGAATTTTGTTAAAGGAGCAGCTTTGTATTTTTTGAAGTGCTGAAAAAGTACTTAGCAAAATCTAAGAATTCTATGCTGCAGAGTATGTGATGGTGATGTTTAAGTCTGAAAGTGTATAAGGGCTGTGAGTTGACTCTTGGACTTTAAGAACGTCATGGCATAAACTGTCTTTGCTTTGGAAGACCTTAAGATCTTTTAACATTTTTGTAATTTTTCAGAGTAATTTTAACCATGAAAAATGTTGTGCCCATGAAAAATCAGGGCAGTTTTTATAAGCTATTGAAATATTTCATCAGGCAAATAAGTGTTTACTGAAAAAAATATCTGATTGTTGTTTTTGTTTTCATTTGTTTGTTTTTTGGTCCTAAGAGAATGTGTTTATTTTCTGGTAACCTCTAAAGTCTGGGCATATACCTCAAAGCAAACCTGGTTTGCCGGTAATCCTAGGTTCCTTAAATTTATTCCCTTGGGTATATATTTCTAGGTCCTTTTATACTTCAGAAGGAATTTTTTTCAGTTGTGTGTTCTGTTGTTTCCGTTTGTGACCTATCCAGCATTTTCAAAAGGTTAAGTTTTAAAAAAAGTTTAGCCCCTTTAGGTAATGGGAGAAATGGAATTTTTGAGTTGGAGCTTTAGTTATTTTAGAGATTTAGTATAGAAATATGGTAACTTCTTCCAGATTATGGATTCATAGTTAATACAGTAGGCTTTAAAAACCCTTCCTTTAGTCCTTTCATCTTTCTAATCTGGCTCGATACATACAGAGAAGAGAATATAGAACAAAAAACAGGTTGGGAAAGAAAACCTGGAAGGGATATTTAGGGTTCTTCTTTTTTTTTTTTTTTCTTTTTTTTTTTTAAGATTTTATTTATTTATTTGAGAGAGAAAGAGAGCACGGTGGGTGTTGGGGAGGACCAGAGGGAGAAGCAGACTCCCCGTGCTGAGCAGGGAACCTGACGTGGCACTCCATCCTGGGACTCCAGGATCATGACCTGAGCCGAAGGCAGTCGCTTAACCAATTGAGCCACCCAGGCACCAGAGGTTTAGGGTTCTTTGAATATCTTACTCTTGGTGGAGAAAATCAATTTTGTTTTATTCTTTTTGACCATTATCACAATTTCCATGTTAGAGGATTCACAGATGGGGGAAACCATAGGTTATGTAGATTACAAGGTAAAAAAAATTTTTTTGGTGCATTTTGGCCTAGGAGTCATTCTTTAGTATCCTTTATCAGACATTTTTCTTACTTTCTCATATATTTCATGCACTCTGGAAGGCTCTGGGATTCTTGCTGTTCAGAAACATACAGTCTAATGAAGGAAAGAGATTTGTGAATAACTACTTACACAGTGAAATATGTACTCATAAAACTATGGAGAATGCAGTGACTTTCTCTATGGGGAAAGGAAATGCTATGGTTATTCAGAAATAGCCATATCTAAGAAGAAGCTTAAAAAAAGCTCTACATGCAGATTGAGGGGGGTGAGAATGTGGGAAAGGGTAAACATTTTTTCCACTGATCCTCACACCAACCCTGTGATATAAGTATCAGATAGACTCTGAAGAGGTCTCGCAGATGGTAGGAGGCAGAGCTAGGATTTAAACTTAAGGTCATTTTATTCCAAATCTATGCTCTGCATCAGAATTAAATCCTAAAAGAAATTTTTGTCAAAGTGGTGGAAGGCTTTTTTGATTTAATTTTTTATTTCAAAGGTAAGTATGTCCATAAATTTTGTCCTAAGACATTAAGGGGAAATGTGATAATGTAAATTTACATACCAGATGTATATAAACCATCTACTTTCATGGGCACTGTAGTACCCCCAAGATCTTTAGGAGGATAACAAGAAAAGTTGAGAGATTCTACCCTTTACTCTCTTATATTATTTGAAAAAGTTGTGAAAGGATCAGAAGGAAGGATGGAGAGGGCCCTCCACCCTGAAGATAAGATAGATGGATGGATGGGTAGGTAGGTATCTGGGGTATACTTGGCAAATACAAGTAGTAAATAAATATTAATAGTAATTTCAAATTATCAGTATTGAACTGATCTTCTTTTTTCCTCTAGTCTAGCAATGAATTGGTTTATGAGAACATAGTTTTTAAAAAGATTAGTTTATAATTAAAGTGTCCAGTAGGGAAAATATGTGGTTTTGTGTATACTGTCTTAAATACTTACATATGTTGTATTATGTAGCATCATTCCATATATATAGCAGAATGCAGTTTAAGAACAGTGCACTAGAATTTTTTGCAAGGCATTTTTCTAAAGAAGCAGAGAATGTAGTAGAAAATGGAACAGTAGAGTTGGACAGACCTGCTTTTAAAAATCAGGCTTGTGATCCTTGGACATGTTCTTTGCCTTATCTGGGCCTTAGTTTTCTCTATGGGTAGATTTAGGTGGTTTTTGCAGATGATATGTAAGTGCCCTCGTAAATATGACATTCCCTAGATATAAGGGAGGATGAGAAAGAAAGGGGGGAGATTAAAAAAAAAGGATAGGAAGGATTAGAAAAAGGAAAGAGGAAAATAAATACCCAAGTTATTTACTAAATGTGATCTGGCATCATTAGCTACCTTCTTCATACACCTGGCCTTCCTGCACTTTATTGTGTTCTCTTTTGTACCTGTTTTTCTGAAGAACTTAAGTGACTACTCAGGGCTTTCTCCCACAGCATTCTTAGAGATAATGCCACAAAGCAGACTCATGTCAGTTGTGAAATAAATTGCATTTTCTCATTGAAACAATTTTATAATTTCTGCCTATAGACTTGACATGAGTAAATTATAAATTTGGTAATAGAGCAACTAAAAAGGAAAGATAAACCAACTCTAAAACTCAGTAAACATTAAAAATAGTAGAATTATATTCCAAACACCCAGACATACCTGGTTGTCTCAGTTTGTTAAGCAACTACCTTCAGCTCATGTCATGATCCCAGGTTCCTGGGATCGAGCCCCAAGTCGGGCTCCCTACTCTGGGTGGGGGGAGGGGTCTGCTTCTCCCTCTCCCTCTGCTGCTCTGCCTGCTTGTGCTCTCTTTCGTTCTCTGACAAATAAATGTTTAAAAAAAAAAAAAGAATTACATTCCAAATTCTATAGAATAGGCATAAGTGTATCCTACATATTGAACACACAGAGATATCTCCATATATTATGAGGGGTATATTGAGCATAGGAAGAATAAACTCAGCTCTGTGGTAAATTTGAACTAGTCTCCTAGGTATAAATAAAAAGAATTGAGCACTTAATATTGCATCCTACTTAAATTTAGAGGGGCAATTAGAAAATAATTGGAATGCGTCTCTGTCTTTTAAAATGACCACTTAGGGAAGTTTGAATTGTTGCCTGTTGTTGTTGTTGTTGTTGTTGTTGTTTTAAGCATGTTAAGTTTTCTTGGGTAAGTAGAAGCAGTTGCAATCGTTACATTGACCTTAGAATTATACACAAAGTTAGAATCACTATTTTTTAAAAAAGAGTCTTGATAATATCTTAATATTTGGAAGTAGCAGTAATAATTTCTGGCACGTAGTAAGTGCTCAATAAATATTTGATCTGAGAAATACATGTGAAAGCTGGGAGACATAATCAGACTAATTACCACCCCACTGCCCCTACAGAGCAATAAAAATGTTTATTAACCTGAGGGTTGAATCAGTTTTGTTTTTAAACCCCTAGTGAGATTCATCTCTCTCTCTCCTCTGTTGCCTTCAGAAGTCCCTGTCTGTGCTGAGGAAACAACTCCAAGTGGTTCTTGCTACCTTTATAGGTAGCAGTAAATAAGGTATTAGTGTTTTGTGATGCCTAAATCACTGCTGTTATTTTTTTTTTTTTGAACATTCCAGTCCATTTTTAGCTTTCCACTGACAAGATTTCTCAGCCATGGCTCTGACTGTGGACTTTGTATTTTGTTTAAAACCAGTGCTTTTCAGGAGGTGTTTTCAATGTTCACCAGTTGTGCTGTGTTTATAGCTTAAGAATGTCCACTGGCATATCTGGGAAGGAAGGCGCTTTAACTTCCAGATTTGTGAGGACAGTGAGGTAGTCTAGCTCCAGGAGATGTATTTCTGAGTATACAAATCAGTTCTGTCTCTTTCTATTATTTATTCTTCTCCATGAAATCCACATTCATTTCATATGTTCTCAATTCAGGGTGGATCATTTGGAGCAGAGGTTCTCAGACTTTATCATGTATCAGAATCACCTGCAGAACTCAGTAAAACAGATTGCTGGGTGAGCTCCACCTCCCAGAGTTGCTGATTCAGTCTTGGCTGCTGCTTGTGAATCCTGACAAGTTCCCAGATGATGCTGTTGGTTTGGGGACCACACTTTGAGAGCCACTAACTTAGGACATTGGTTCTTAAATGTCATACATCAGGTTCATCTGGGAAGCTACACTCACATTCCCTCTTCATATTAATTAAGGGAAGTAGGGAACTGGAGCCAGTATTTATGTTTCCCAGCTGATTTCAAAGCAGCCAGTCTTGGCAGTTGCCTGTGAGCAAATTTTCTAAATCACTGGTTTAGGCCAATAGTTCTCCAGTTTAAACCTAAGAAGTACTTGTAGAGCTTGTTAAAACACAATTCTGGGCCCCATCCTACTGGTTCATTAGGGACCAGTAATGAACTGGTCCAGGTGGGACCCAAGAATTTGCAT